GGGCGCCCGGCCACGCCCCCGCCTCCAAGCCGGCCCCAAGAGCGCTCCGCCCTTCCAGAGTGTGCTCCGCTTCCTCCCCGAAGCGCTCCCTCCGCACGCCTGGCTGGCCGCCTGCCGGAGCCCGCTCCCTCCCGATGTGTCCCGCCCCTCCCGGCACGCCCCTCCTTCCAGGGCGCACCCCTTTAGCCCCCTGGCCGGCCCCGCCTCCTTTCCGGCGAGCCCCGCCTCGTCGTGGGCGCGCCCTCGACACACGCTGAGGCGCGCGCCCGACAAGAACCCTCTCCTCTTCCCCCTTGTCCCGAGAACGCGCTTCAGGCTCTACCCCGCCCACAGTGGAGAGGGGGAGGGCTGCGCTCCCCACGTGGTTAAGGTGGGGGTGCCTGAACAGCCACCCCGCCTCCCGGCCACGTGCGCGACACTTACCTCTCTGCTAGGGCCCGATGTAGGGCCTGCCTTGAGCGCACCCCGGTGTTCCTTAGCTCCCTTCTCTGGGGTGCCCGCTTACCCGGCCTGGCTACCGAGCGCCCAGCGTTAGAGCTCGGGAGAGGTGGGGTACTTCACTCTGCTGGGGTATAGGGAACCTGCGTTTCTCTCTTTCTCTTCTGGGGTTACTCTTGGCAGCCCCACCTGGGTCCGAGAGTACCGGTGTGTGGGAAAGGAGAGTTGGGAGAGACTATAAAAGGAAGGGTTGGGGGAGGACAGTCTGTATGTGGACAGGGGATCCCAGCACCTTCGGGGCTATAGCTCCCGGCTCCGGCATGGATCCTTTGGACCCAGATGGGGAAACGAGACCAGTCAGTGCCGCTTCTCGAAGCTGCCTAGGGCGTCCACGCCAAGTCATCTTATTGTGGCTAGGACTTGGGGCGAAACACCCTCAAACTCCAGGTAGTGGGGGCGGTGGGTCAGCCTCTCCACCGCGACCAAGTCCCCGCCCTTCCCCAGTCCAGCAGTGCAGTGACCGGAACGGCCTCCAGGGGGCGAGCTGCTTTGGTCTCTACGTCCTCCTTGCGGGTCACCTCTGCCTTCTCCCGGACCCGCCCTAGGCTGGGTGTGAGCCGCTGCTTTCACCTTGGCGGGAGTCCCATCCTCCCCACCTGCAACCCCATCTCAGCCTTCTTGGCTGCCTACAACGAGATCAGCCGTTGTTCCCCGGGGCCCCGAGCCCCAGTGTGTCCAGTACACGTGGCTGCACCCAGGAGTGAAGAGAAGCAGGTGAAGCCAGGTGCAGACTACATCCACCTGGACCACTCACTAGTCAGCGTTCCTGCCCGACCAGGTCCTTTTGCCGTCAGGTCTGAGGGTGAGCAGATCATCCAGCTTCTTCTTAGGACCACTTAGTCGTCCGTGTCCCCGCACCTCCCCCTGCCCCAAGGCCCTGTTAAATGCTCACCTGGCCTGTACCCTACAAAATTACGTCTGTGCTCGTGCACGCGCGCGCAGTCACCCAGACCCGGAGCAGTGTAAGAAATAGGTTCCAGTGTGCAGCCACAATGCCCTTTCCACTGCGGTTTATTAGACCTGAGAGAGACCTCCTGGAGCTGCCCTGCTGAGGTTCACAGTCTGGGAGAGTCAGACCACCGTACAGGTGAGCTTGTGCACATCAGCCCAGGTGAGTTGCGGGAAACAGACGGCAGAGACACCCGCGCAGCCTGAGTGGAGACCTCAAGGAGGTCCAGGCGATGATGGGTTGGCAGGCATAGGTGTGGCTAGCTGGTGTGTGTGAACCTGTGGGCAGGGAGCGAGGGCAGGTTGAAGTGGTAATGCTATGGGAAGACAGGGGCATCACTGCAGAGGGCAGGGTCCATCCCCTTCCCAGTAGCCAATACCTTTGGGCACCAGCCACTGCACCATGAGCCCATGCAAGGCGTGACTGGGGGCCTCCCCGACTTGGTTCAGATTTCCCTGTGCTTGGTCCCGTGTGCACTGTGGTCCTTAGCCCCTTTCTGGTGGTGGTGGTGGTGATGTGCCATGGAGTTGGTTCTGACTCATAGTGACCCTGTACAGGGTTTCTGAGGCTGTAAATCTTTACGGGAGCAGAAAGCCTCATCTTTCTCCCGCAGAACAGCTGGTAGTTTCAACTACTGTCCCTGAGGTTAGCAGCCCGATTCGTACCCACCTCGCTACCAGAGCTCCTTCTACAGATGGAGAAATCAAGGTGGGCAGAGGACCAAGGAGGGGGCTTGTTTGAGTTCACAGCTGTGAGGCAGCAGCTAAGCTCTGGAAAATGAGATGGAGGCAGACTTAGCTTAGGTCTCCACCGGCAGGTCTTTAAGCCTCACTCTCTTCATCTGTAAATATTACTGCTGAGTGCTGTTAAATTGATTCTGACTCATAGCAACCCCGTATAGGGTTTCCAAGGAGCAGCTGGTAGGTTTGAACCATCAATCTTGTGGTTAGCTATCCAGTGCTTATCTACAGCACCACACCAGGTCTCCTCATCTTTAAATGTCTCCCTAGAAATCAGTTATCTGTAAAACTGTCCCTGATAGACCCTACCCAGAGAAACAGTGATGCCTGAGATGGAGGCAGAGACAATGAAGTGGAGAGATGAAGCAGTTGGGGACTTTAGATCCAGAGAGGGAGAGGGGCTGTGTCCTGACGACTACGGCGGGGGTGGGGGTGGGGGCAGGCTTGTAGGGTATACACTTTGGTTGGTTGATGATGCATGGAGGAGATTGTAACCATGGCAATGAAACGATATACAATAGGATGAATGTAAAACTAATGTTCTCCTATGTAAACTATCACATAATTCACAATAAAACATAAAAAAAAAAACACCCAAAAAACTGTCTCTGATAGCATGTAGGGGTTTAGGGTAAGGCAGTAGCCAGGAAGGAAATGACAAGAACCGGGTGAGACGTCTCTGTGTCCGGAGTACCAGCAGGCCAGGCCCTCACGCTTGCCTGAAGTGGGTGGTGAGAACACACATCCTGCTGTAGTATAGGTGAGGGTGATCCCATGTAAACGGGTGCACAGACACCCCAAAATACACGCACCTACGGGGACGATGGCCAAGGTAGGCTAGGGGTCAAAGACAAGGATTTCTGGTTAGCAACCCCATATGAGAGTGGAACTGCCCTACAGGCTCTCCTAGGCTGTCATCCTTAGGAAAGCCGAAAGCCTGTCCTTTCCCCCTTGGGTGAGCTAGAATGTTAGACCTTTTAATTAGCAGCTGAGTGTTTAACCAGTGTGCCGAAGGGCTACGTACCATCCCATCCTACTACCATCTGACTCTATAGTGACCTTATAGGGTACCAAAGACTATATATACCATTCCATAGGCTAGAGAGAGAGAATGCTGGAGGCGGTGGTTGTTTGCTGTGGAATCAGTTTCATGATCTGATACAAGGTTTCCAAGGTGGCAGATATTGACAGGTGCAGAAAGCCTCGTCTTTCTCCTGCAGAGCAGCTGGTAGATTCTAACTACTAACCTTGCAGTTAGCAGCTCAGCTGATAATCTATGCTGTTAGCAGTGCTCCTTATAAATAGGATGTTGTGTAGTTAAGTGTCCTCAAGCCAGATCTGACTCATAGTGACCCTGTACAGGGTTTTCAAGGAGCATCTGGTGGGTTTGAACCACTAACCTTAATTTAAGGTTAGCAGTCCACTGCTCATCCTGCAGTGCTAAGTCCAGCCATTTGATTACGACTCATAGAGACCCCCATAGAGGGTTTCTGAGGAGCGGCTGGTGGGTTTGAACCGCTGATCTTGCTGTTCAAACCAAGTTTGCAGTCCAGTGCTTATCCTATGTGCCATACCAGGACTCCATATATAGGCCATATACTGTACACAAGTTGCAATAGCCACTCTCTTCTTACTTCTTTTTACAATGATGAGGCCTTTACCTTTTGTTTTATATCTTTCTGTATTCTTAACTGGTGTGTTTTTATTAATTTTTCAAGCGCACACAGGTACCTGGTTGTCATTGTGTGCCATTAGGTGTATTTTGATCCCACGTGACAGAGTAGAGCTGCCCCACAGGGCCTCCTGGGCTGTCATCGTTGTAGGATCCTTGCCAAGATCACCGGGGTTTTCTCCTGAGAAGCCGCTGGGTGGGTTTGAACTGTGACATTTTGGTTAGTAGCCAAGCACTTAACTATTGTGTCACTAGGGTTTCAACAGGTACCTAGACAGTGATACTCTGGGCTTTTTCTCTTCACCGTTTTCTGTGTGAACGATCAATTTAAGAAAAAAACCCTTTTCCCTTGATTGTGGCATAGTCATGCCTCGCTTTGGAGCCAAGGAGCAGAGAGGGAGGTGACAGCAATCACCACCAGGTGACCTAGGTTAACATTGCTGGGGGTCACATGGAGCCCCTATAGAATGTGACTAAGTGAATAAGGAAGACCACAGAAGATTTGATATTTTTAAGTTATGGTGTTGCGGGAGAATATTGAAAGCGCGCCATGGGCTGCCAGAAGAATCAACAGATCTGTGTTGGAAGAAGTAAAACCAGAGCGCCCCCTGAAGGCCAGGAGGGCCAAACTTCGTCTTTCATAACTTCGGACATATTGTCAGGAGGGACAAGTCTCTGGAGAAGGATATCATGGTTGGTAAGGTGGAGGGTCAGAGAAAAAGAAGAAGACCCCCAACGAGATGGATTGGCCAAGTGGCAGCATCAGTGAGCTCAAGTGTGATAACAATAGTGAGGTTGGCCCAGGATTGGGCAGAGTTTCATTCTGCTGTGCACAGGGTTGCTATGAGTCGGTAGTGACTTGATGGCACCTAACAACAACAATGATCTAGAATGTGACTGGGTCACTTCTGCGTATGTGTCTTTACTTGTTGGGACATTTGGGGCCTTGGAGGCAGTGCTATAAGTTGCAGACTGACCAGCAGGGGCAGAGCCCACTGATTTTTCACCTGCCTTCCATTGGAGGAGGTCTGGTGGCCCTGTGGGTTAGACATTGGACTGCTATCCGCAAGAACGGCGGTTCAGACCCGCCACTGTGTGGCAGAATGATGAGGCTGCCCGCCCCCATAAAGATTTCGTCTTGGAAATGCTAGATAAGGTCGCTATGAGTTGGAGTCTGACTTGATTTGCCAGTGGAGGATATGTCCCCCGGCTTCTGTAGTGGTTGGTCCTGCTCGAAGACAGAACATAGGAGCCTGTCTGTAACCGAGCAGAGGCCCAGGGAAGGCGGTCAGCTTTGGCAAGAGATCACCCATTCCACACTCCCCCTCGCAAAACGTCTGACATCATTTTCAGTTGGATGTATGTTACTTACCACATACATGCCACATGCCACAGTGTGCATGTGGGACCAGGATAGGCCATAGCACACGTGAGCATGTAGCTGACCCTGTCCTTAAATTTCAAGCGAGTCTGGAAAACTGCCGGCACTGAGTGCGGAACCCCTTTGGGAGCTTGAGGCACCCGTCCCCTAAAGTGGCCAAGGGACAGCACGTGGTCCTTTTGTGGGTGGAGGCAGCAGGGATTTCGCACGTCATTTCACTTGTCGATTCCTCTCTAAGCTCCTGAAGAACTGTTGCTGGTATTGAGGACCTACCCCGCAAAGCACTGGAAAATTCCAATTCCCCTGTGTACAATTCAGTGGCCTTGACCGCATTCTTCACGTTGTACAACCATCCTCACCCCCCTTTTCTGACCTGGTGCTCCTCGTTCACATGAACTCCTGGCCCCCTAAGCTCCATATCTAACCTTTGGAGTTGCTGTTACCATTCTGATCCCATAAGGAGCACAAGGTTGCAGGCAGACAGCCTGAGCTAAGTAAGCTAAATTCAGGATGGAAGGGG